GGTCGCTGCGTTGCTGGGCACCGTCAGCTTGCCGCAGGGGAGACGCGCGGTCGGATGGCAGCTGGCTCCTGGGGCGTTCAGGTGTGGTGACCTTTCCCTGAAGTTGCCACGGGGGAAGGACCGCAGCAGCTGACCTGCCCGCAGGCGGCCTTAAGGGAAGCCCTTCGGAAGGGTTTTCGTTCTTTCCGGTTACCGTGACGTCTCTCTCTTTGGTTTCTTCCCCAGGTGTTTGTTTCCGAATGGTAAGGCAAGGCGCAGGTCACCGCCCCGCCGTCCCCTGTAGCGTTTCCAGGGCTAAAAATACCGCAGCTGGTCTGTGGAGTACAAACCTGTGCAGCTGCCGTTTTCAGTTCTGTGCTAGTTAAGTATTGCCTGTGCGTTTAGAAGAGAATTGATATCTGCTTTGGAAAGTTTGTTCGCCTGAACGTTGGTTTATGTTCGTGTGGAATCTAACGAGCGTGTCTGGCTCCCGGGAGCGTTATAACGTGTTGGTCTTTGGAAAAGTTGATTCTGAAGGTCTTGATGTAGCTTCTGAAACCAAGTTTTCCAGTTCATTTTTTTAAAAATGACAATTAAAATGCAGCACTGGCATTTGAGGAAGCTTATCATGTTTCCATGTAACCACGTAATACAACAATTCAGTCTTTGCAGCTCATATCCCGATCAGCCTTCCCCACCAGTTCTGAACATCCAGCAGGGAGCTTTGCAACGCACAGCAGCCCCAGAAACAAGAGGCCTCATGCCAAAACCAGCTAGCAATAGTTCTCTCTCTGAAAATAGCGGCCCCTGCTCAATATTAGATGTAAAAGTTGCCAGTCCTAACGTTTTCCTCAATAGGGCTTGTTTATCAGCCGCGTTCCCGTTCTTTTGGTCAGCTTAGGAGGGGAGAAGTTGCTCATGATCAGCTTGAAAAATACTCTTCTTTGGTAGTAGCACCGTTTCACATGCTAGACTACCCAAAATTTTATATGGGATTTCTTTTGAAATGTCATATTGATCTGAAGTTTGGCTGTCGGCATTTTAAAAAAAGTATCTAAAGAAGCTGATACTGCAGTGTACGCATCTAGTATTTGTGTACTATTCTGGGTATTACTGCACACACCATAAAACAGTTGGTGGCTATTTCTTACACAATTATACTGAAAGCTCCATGAAATCTTATTATTAGAGCCATCATTCTGATGACATTCTGTAATTCAGCGTAAGAACATGGACTGCATAATAGTCTTGTACCTCATTACTAAACATACAAGAAAAAGCAAAACAGAGGAAATACCTTTAATATGTTTAATTTGGATGTATGTGAAAAGGTGGAGTACTATGTATTGGCTAATAGTGGTGAATTTTTTTTTGTCCTACATGGAACGAAACTTCAATGGGTTTCTGAAAAACAGGCTTTCTGCTCCCTACTGTTTAAGTTTTGAGGCACATATTGTTAAAACTAGGCATATATTTCATATGCACATGAATGACAGAAAATAAGAAAAATTTAAAGAGATCGATGTACTTGGAAGCTCCTGATTTAACTGCAAGAAGTGAATAACTGAGAAGGCCAGCATAACTTACTGTTGCATTGCAAAGTGCATATTAGAAAAACAGAATAATTAGATTATGACCTTTGCTGCTGTTTTTTTTGTAGTGATGCGTGAGCTAAGGGTCGAATTTAAGGGGTGAAAGCCAGGTGGAAAGGATTTAGAATGAAACGGGAGTTTAATGAGCTTAGACACTGTGATTGCTGAAGAGGCAAATGAATAGGAGAGACAGAAGCTGTTTATAGTAATGGTAGCTAGAGAAAGGAATAGAATAGGTACCAGGGAGTTTGGGATGGTGTGGAATTATTAGAGTCCCTTGTGACTGTAATTATATGTTTAAAAAAATCCTAAAATCAAGAGAGCACGTCTTTTGCCTCCTCTTCTGAAGGAAAAAAATTTCTACATGGAAAAACGATTAGAAAGAACTTGTCTTGCTGCTTATGTTATTACCAGCACCTGTTGTGTAAGGACTGGGTAGGAATATCTATTCTTTTCTGAGAGAATAGATATTGAAAAAAGCTATGACAACAGAAATGCAATTTTAAATGACTCACGTATGTATTACATACATGTATATTCTCATTCCTGTTCAAAAGTTGGCTGCTTTGCTGCACGTTCAGAATTGGCAGGAACATCTTAATGCCCGGGTATGAGCATCATCTATAGAGCTATTTCTTCCAAGTGTAGGTCTTAAAGCTGTGAAAATGAAAGTGGTATTTTAAGTGATATGCATATGTATGGGCTGGCACTGATTATCCTTTTTCATTATTATTTTTCAAATCAGTACACAGAAGAGGAAGCTAGGAAATTAGGAGTGGTCGGCTGGGTTAAAAACACCAGCAAAGGGACTGTAACGGGCCAGGTTCAGGGCCCAGAAGATAAAGTAAATGCAATGTAAGTATTTTTATCTTTGTCTTAACTTTACCAAAATGTCACTTACAGAAGCATTTTTAATCTAAACTTAAAAGCAGGTTCAGATGTCAGTAATCTAACGGTGCTTTCAAGAGTCAGTTTTGATTTTGAGAAGTTGAGGAGATGCGTCCCTTTTTTAAGCTCTAAAAGTCTTTAAGATTTAAAAACAGCATGCAGAGTCAGTCAGGATCAATTTTTAATCTAATTCAGTTTGTCAGTGTATTTCCCTTAAAAACCTGTTCTTCCGAAATGAAGAAGAAAAAACCTTTATTCATGTGCACAAGAATACACCTATTTTTTATTTTTTGAAATACTTCTGCAAAGAATCAAACTGAAGAACTTCTTGAAATGCTTGCTCAACGTGTACTTAAATCAAATTTAAAAAACCTGGTTTTTAGTATGATTTTTTTTCCTGATACTTAATCTATATTTATGTATTAATTTTTATTAAAACCTATTGTCTTTACTGCCTGGAAATTAATTTTGAAACCTTTTGATGACTTTAACAGAAGGGGTATGGTTTTCTTTAAGCTTTTGGAAATCTGTAATGTAATGAAGCTGTCACTCTGAGGAAGTGCTGCCTGCAAAAGCACAAAACCCAAATCAGTTAATTCCAACCTTCATTTTTGCAGGTGTATATAGGGAGATTGTTGGGTTTTTTAATCGCTCAGTGGTTTCTTCTCTCAGCTAGAGTGAGTGATGGTAGAACTTTCCTTTGGAAGTTGTGTCATGGGTGGGCATTACTGTATTATTAATGCAAATTCTGTCAGAACTTTCCCAAACAGGAATTGCTGCAAGACCGTAAGTTAGATAAAGTGAAGCTGACTTTTTGCAAATAAGTGTTACACTGTGCGATAAAGAGGTTTATATATGACTTATCTCATGTGACAGGAGTATTTGCAGTTAATTATTTTCTTTGGTCTCAAGCTTAACTTTAGGTTGTTTATTTTGAGCTGCAAAGCATTTACAAAGCCAGAGAAACATCAGTTGTTTGTTTCCTAGGTCAAGTTTATGCTTACTTTCTGCAAGAGTTTTGTTAGTATCCTGGTTTAAATATTTTTGTAAATTAAATATCTCTATGCCATCTATCTACTTAATTTAGAATACTGGATAAGAACATGTGAGAACTCATGATTTGATTTCTATTCATTGGAACAGTTATTTTTTCACATGAATTCTTCTAAAGTCGGTTGATTTCTTCTAAGTTGAACAGGTTTAAGTGAGATTATCGGTTTGGCTCCTGATACTTTTTGCGTTTGCAGGAGCTAGGATTACTGCGGAATGTGATGTTTTCTTAAATCCTCTTCCCTTTCCTGTTTTCTGAAATGATAGCATTTAAAGGAAGCCTCGCTTACCCCTAAGCCAGAAAGTTTGTGTGTATAGTATGGGATCTCACAGCAGAACTGTAAAATTAGACCAACAAGACTAGGTTGTTCTCAAAGATGTGGTAGCATACAGACGATTCCAAGAGAAGAGAAAATCTCTTATTTTTCAGTGTTATAAAATTTTGAATAGTTATGGCCAACTTGACAGTGACAGTAAAAAAAAGAAAAGAAAGAGAGAAAAGAAAAAAAGAAAAAAGAACTTGGCATTGAAGGTTTTTGATTTGCATAGTGTCTGTGATATTCAGAGCAAAAAAAATTCCAGAATTTATAATACTGTGTTGTAAATATAGAATTTGTAATATTGTGTTCTAGATATGAAGGTTGTTTTAAATGGTATATTAAATAAAAACAACATGAAGCTTGCTGCCACAATGGCTAATTAACATAAACCATTAAACCTAAACATGCATTTCTATTAGCACTGTGATAAATAAGCAAGAGGAACTTCTGGCACCCACTTCTTATCCAGGAATTCCTATTCTATTTTGCATGATTTTTCTAGGTATTCAAAACTTACAAGGGTCTGTGTGTGTGCACAACGCTTCTTAGAAACTTGAAGGTCTCCATGTTCAAGAATTCTTTTTCAAAGAAATACAATATATGAGTCACTTATAAGACATTTCAAGAGAAGTTCCTAGTGAGTGCTATTTCAAATACTGCAACAATGTGTTATTTCATTTTAAAAAAAAGTTGTGCTGAGCCTTTCAAGGAGGTAGAGCCTCTTGTTTTGTTCTGTAGCTTTTTCTATGGACCCATGCAGATGCATCATTGAGAATCCTGTTCAGCCTTCTAACCTGGAAAAAGTTGTTGTTTCTATTTCTTAGGAACTGTAGACACCGTGGAAGGCAGTTTGAAAAAATTTTTGTTCAACTTTGGTAGATGCTTGCTCTCTCTTAATTAAATTTGATGGTGGTTAATTGATAAGGGTGAGAAAGATGAAGATCTTAAGCGTAGATGTTCTGAACAGGAAGATACGATGGATGAACCAGAAGCAATTCTGGGCTAAAATTTTCCTGTGACAACTCTTAGTCTGTTACTAGAAAAAGAATAACTTTTCTATAGGAATGAGGCATGATAAATCAAAACATCCATCTTCTCTTGTGCAAGACTAATGAGAAACACATTTTTTGGTTTTAAAAAATAAACGCACGGATTTTGTTGCTGTCCCTTTTACATTGCTATATATGAATTGTGATCTAATCCTTAAAAATCATTTTAATTCTACCCTAATCTGGTAAATCTGTTTTTGCTCGTGCTTGTGACATACCTTTTCATGTACTTTGCCTTCTCTCCTGCTTGAAGCTAGTAAGCCGAATGATTAAAAGGCTGGTTAAGTAGTGGATATGGTAGTGTGAGAACAGACTGAGCAATCCTCCTGGCCCATACTGAAAATAGGGGAAATAGGAAAGCTGAGAAAAGGGAGAGCAAAGGGGAGACGTCTGGAAAGAATATACTTGTACAAATGAAGACTGAAGAAAAAGAGAAAGGAATAATACAATTTTTGTTCTTTTTTCATGATACCGAAAAGAAGCAAGGACATAGACTGAAAAGAGAGCGAGGAAGCCAGAAAAACTACTGTTCTAGAACAGGTAGACAGAAGCAAGATAAGGGGAGCGGAGAAGGGTAAGTGCTTGTGAGAAGAGGATAAAGAAAGGGAAAGTGAAAATGTGGGAAAACCACCATGAGGCAGTACTACCTTACCAGACGCATGAAGTGAATAACAAAGCCCGCTTTTATTCCAGAGCGCTGCAGCCCTTCAGCCCGAATGGTTCTCCAGCAGCAACCTGTCGCTCCTGACTTTCTGACTCTTTTTCTTCTGCTTTGTCTCACTACCTGTATTGCAGGCAAAGCTGGGAAGGGTCCAGCAGAGGTCAAGAAAAATGGCAGTAATGTTTTTTACGCAGGCTGTAACGTAACATATAATCTGGGAGGAGTTAGGAGGACAATCCTGGTGGTCTCTCTTAAGCATTAGTGAAATGTATTCTTAAAATTTAGGTGGAGAGTGAGTGACCAGAACCAATATATGGTGAACAAAATAAATTTTAAAACAGGAGAGCTGGAGATACCACTGTCCCTCTGTACTCAGAGCTCTCTGGTGAAGTGAGAGCATATCAAAGATCTGTTGTGAAGGTCAGTTGGCTAGGTGACTAATGGGAAGCGCACAGGACATCTGCAAATGCTGGGAAACCGTTGATGAATATTTAAAGTTCAACTTAGCTGTTTTGATGCTGGTTTATGTGTAGTCTCTGTTCCTTCTCTGTAAACACAAGTATAGACTATTTTATGACGCATATTCATTAAAAGAGAGACTATACAGGTGTTTAATGTGAATTAAATTAGCTTTCTTCAAAAAATATTGTATTAAAGAAAAAGACTCATGAAAAGCACAGAGAGGGCAGGAATCTTGCCAAAAGCAGTGGTACTGACGGCAAGTTGTTTTTATGCTGTGAAAACGTACAGAAAGCACTTTAAACAGGTAAACTGACCATTAAATGCAAGGGTTTCTTTGTCCTACGGGTAGGAAGGAAAGACAGCGTTCTCATTTTATTGTTAGTTGAACAGAAATATCGTAGTTGTAGAATGTTTCCCATAGGATTTCTTGTTATTATCTTAAATGGAAAGGAAGAAACAAATTCTGCCTTCTCCATGTCTTTGGAGAGCCCTGGCTAGTCGAGCACAACTTTATTGCTTTAGAAGTGAGGGATTACAGTTCAGGAAGGCAGCCAGAGGCTAAATATGCTGCTGCAGATGCACTGTGGTCTAAATGTTATTTTTGCATATAGAAAAGTGTTTGCTAATACAGGCAGTGGGCTGAGGGTATAGCTTATTTCCATCCCAGCAGGCAAAAGAGCAGACCTCTTCTGCCAGAGCCTGGTGTAGTTTCTTGGGCAGTGCCCTGAAGCCTAAATTTTGTCCTGAACCATGGAGGTAATTGTTTCTCCGCAAACACAGAGTATAATTATGGTAAATCACTTCTAAAAGACAACATGGAGAGCAGGCTTTGCTCTGGAATATGTAACAGCTTAGCAGGACATTCTGATTTTTACAGAAAAAAGTGGAAAATGATAAATAAATATGAAGAGTTGGGGCCTGAAAAGTATTACACGTCCAAGAAGCTTCATTCCTTATTGGACTATTATATTAGTGTTGAATGTGGGTATAAATCTTTGCTGAGCAGTGCTGTAAGGCTGACTTCCTTGATTTATATCCTGGTGAAATCTCGATTGCATCGAAAACTCTGGCAAAATTTACTCTCAGCGCCCTGAGGCTAGGATTTTACAGTGTAAATTTCACAGAAATGCAGGAAGCTTATGAGCTGTCAACGAACAGTTTTTGCTTTTAGGCGTCACTTTCGTTTAAGAATTTGTCTTCACTTTGTTTTTGATGAAAATAATCTTTCTGAATCTCAAAGAGATCAAGTGATTTCTACATAAAAATTATATTGAAGCCAAATTTCTATTTTAATTGGGAGAGCTTGAAGATAATTTTAGAGGGTATTTAAAAAAAAAACCCACCTTTTACCTGTAAACTTGCTTTAATATGACTTGCTTTTAAAACTCTAGATGGAGCTGTTTGTTCTGTAGGTACTTCCAACTG